AACAATAAAGTTAATAACAATAAAGTTAATAACAATAAAGTTAATAACAATAAAGTTAATAACAATAAAGTTAAAGTTAAGAAAAATAGATCTGAGTCTAAAGCTAGGGACAATAAAGTTAATAACAATAAAGTTAAAGTTAAGAAAAATAGATCTGAGTCTAAAGCTAGGGACAATAAAGTTAATAACAATAAAGTTAAAGTTAAGAAAAATAGATCTGAGTCTAAAGCTAGGAACAATAAAGTTAATGAGGAGTATTTTCCATTATGAGTCTGCCCTATTGCATAAATGATAATTGGTGATATGTAGTCCCCTCGTCACTGTCCTTCTTCTTAGCACAGGGTCAGGTTGTTCAGAGCTGCGTCAAGATAACCCAGGGTTAGTGTGATATCTGATCTAAGAACTGAGAGCTTTAAGGAAAGATTAGTACAATTCTTTTTGTCTACAAATTGATGATTGGATGCCCTTCAAAGAATAGAGAAACATATCCAAGAAAGGCTTTTGAACAAAATTATAAAGAAATCCTGATTTAAATTTAACGCTGGGTTAGCACTAACCAGCCTTTGAACAACTAGGCCCAGGGCTTGAAATAATGGCCAGTCAACGGGCAATGTCCAGTCTAAAATAGTTTTTGTTGGTCAAATCCTTAAATGCCCCACCAATCTGTCTGGTCGTTTACATTAGTAAGGAAAAAATTAAGAGTTTCAAGTTTTAGCATTTAAATGTTCAATATTGTATGCACAAATGAAATACAGATTTTGTCGAACATTGTAGCTGTACTGCGCATGCCACTTTACCTGCATTACAAGATGGAGGCTCATGGAAAGGTCAATAAATGCTTTGAAAATTTACTTGGTCCATAATTGAACATATTTAAAGATTGTGTCAGGGAGGTGGCACTTGTACAGTGATAAGACATAACCAATGTTTGGCTGGCAAGAAATGGGTTGCATCCTAGCAAAAATAGGTTTGATTGGAAAATTTGACCAGCACCAGCCAGGAAATTATTTAACTACAGTGGCACTACAGCATTACAAATTGAAAGTTATCATCTCCATCCCCTTCATTCTTGTAAAGCCTGGTTCACCTGTGTCGTGATCGGTTGTGAGCTGAAACTGTTGCTGATGTTCCAGACGGTGAAAATTGAAATTCTCATCTACCATGAATGACTGCCAATCATCACAGAAAAAATGTGGTGTGATGGGAAAACAGAAACCTTCCTGATTTTCCCAATTTGTCTTCGACAGTCCCACAGTCAGGATCTCTAGGACTTCAAGTTTTCCTTTGTCGGAAAAATGTGGGAAACAGCGAAATTGCCGATTGTCTGAAATTTTGCGACACATAAAAACCGTACTTAGTATTGTCTTGCTAACGTAATCCACAGATGATATAAATTTGCATAAGACTAAAAATCGACGTCTAGCTCTCCGAGATCTAAGGAGAGGAAGCGCTAGACATGGCGAAAAAAAAAAAAAACTGAATTGGCGACGTAACTTTCACAGATTAAATTTGTTACGCGCCAGATGAGGGTATGTTCTTACAAGTAGCATGCAAGCGCCTACAGAACTGAACTGAACTGAACTGACCCTTGCAAGCCAATAGAGAAAGTTCGTTTCAAAGTGGTTGCGCATCACCGTAGTAAAACTTTGTCACACAAATTCTTTGACAACTGTAAATATGTTCCATTGAGCGATGCAAAATTTGCATCGGCTCCTTCTCCAATCGGGTGTCACGCTCCCGAAAGCGAGCTTTTTAGTCACACTACCAATAAAATATTTTGTTCTCTCTAAAATGCTCTGTGTCGTTGGTATGAGGAAGATTGGCTTTGGTGAATTGCATAAAAAAATAGTTGAAGTTAAGGTAGAGTTTTTGTCGAGTTTGAGGGAGTTGTCTGCTTAATTTCGAACGCTTCGAGGGGTCGATCAACTGCATTTTGCAGTAGTAAAATGTATTTATGCACTCTTAGTGATTGACGAGGCGGACAGTCCCGCTAGCATAGAGAAATACCTCCCAGTTATGATGGTTTACCCAACGAAATTTGACATGTAGACTAAAAATTCCAAAAGTGTGCTCTCGAAAGACAATATGTTCATTCGAGTTCAATTTTATGCAAAACTAGAATAGGTTTGGGCTACGGCGCCTGTGCAAAGCTAATGGTCAACTCACCTGCTCAAAATGGATTACGCCTTTCGCTGTGCTGTTGTTGGACAATAAAACGCAAACTGCCTTTGGTCCTGACATTGTAAAATAAACGACGTTTTACCAACACACAGGCTACTACAAGCGCAGTTTTAAACCTTCAAGTGTTCAGTCGCGTTCGAACATGTGACCTCGAGGAGTTTGGCTCTCAGAGGAACTTGGGAAATGGACGATGCAGGGGACGACCGATGCCTTGTCATGATTTGTCATCATAACTACAACTGCAGCTTTTCTGCTTGTCTTTCCTCTTTTTCCCAACAAACATGTGGAAAGATTATAGAAAGATTCATCCTTCGTTCAATAATTAGTTTTGTTCTCTTGATAAAGCAACTACAAATCTTAATTCTGTCATCTCAGGGCACAAATGGTCGGCACCGCTTACCTAACATGAAGAACTGGGCCCAATCGCTCGAAGGCGATCAGCGGTTATAACCCATGGTTAAATTTTAATCAAGGCTCTGCCTTAAAGTCTGAAATCAAATTTCACACTAACCCGAGTTATCTTAATCCGCCTTTGAACAACCCGGCCCGGATGATAAATAATCACAAATCTCATTTCAGTTGGCGGAAAATTCCAAAGAGAAAATCTTGCCCGTTTGACTACTATGGACATCCAAGTACAACATGTTGCAGAAATCGAAATAGGAGTTCTGATCGCCGAGATCTCAAACAACGCTGGAGAAAAATAGATGCCGGAAAGGAAGTTGGTGCAACTTATGGTGCAGCTTATGAGTACAGTCTCTCGCCTACTACAGATATTAAAATTGTTTGCCCTAGCTATTTGTTTATCGATTGATTCGTTTTTTAAGTCGTGCGTCAATTACTAAGACACGTATCTAATTCATGTTTTCCGTGATTTCCGAGGCACAAGCTTCATAGGCTGCCCAGGTATACTGCATCAATCTCTGAGTTGAATAACTGTCACTTCACCACATGTGACTTGACCCACCCCTCGCACGAAATCTCGCGAGATTCCCAAGTAACTGTGGACAGTAACCATATCGGCGACCCGTAATGTTTTCAAATGCATCATAATTTATTAAACTAATGTAATGAATATTTGACTGCAATTTTCATCATTATTCATTAGTATTTTTTTCGGTTTTCTTTTTTTTTCTGTAAGTGACTGCACATGGTTGACATCCCAGTTACGAATACTGTAGACCTCGCCTTTCCTCGCTCGCACCTGCAGTAAAATGCTGTTCCCTCGTGAAAAAGAGAACTCAAGATAACATAAGAATTTGCCCAAGAAATGATCGAAAGTGAAAAACGTAACGACAAGCGACTAGCGAATCTGATGCTTTACAATGAAAACTGGCTGATCTCCTTTTGGTACGAAATCGCGTTATCTGAACGCGACCCGATAGTTCAGTTTTTTTGTTTGCTTTTTGTTCTTAAGCTGACATTCCACGTGACCAGAAAGCGACTTTCTTTCCTTTCTCAATAAAGATAACGGTGGTCCGCGCCGACCCACTGCTAAGCAGCTTTAATCTCAAGAAGATTCAGTGGGTAAATCGCCTATTCAGTTAGTTTAAAAACTAAACTCAGAAAGATTAATTAGATGTCGGAAAACTGCCATGGACCTCTCTCGCGGCTAGGGAGGGGGAGAGTCCACAGATGTGAACAACAATGAGCAACCTGATAATGAGCTAAAAGTCGTTCCAGTTTAACCATGACAGACACAATTGGTAAGTGACGAAAACGTCTCTGAATTTGAAAGTAATGCGCTATGATGACATCAGAAACAGGTAAAGTGCAACCACACTTTCTTTCTCCAAACTAATTTAACATCAGTATTACATTTAACGAAATATAAGCTAAAGACGTATTCCCAGACAAAAACCGCAAGGCATGCTAACTTGTTCCACCTTGCTACCCAACGGACAAACCCAATAACTTAGTTAAGATTATAAATTAAGAGCAACATCAGGGTAGCGACAAACAAGGGAAATCTTTCGGGCGTCTTAAAGCAAGCCTTTGGGACTCTTACACGCAGGAATGTAGCAGGGTGCGCTAGGATCAAGGCCACTGTTGGACAACTCGATATGATTTGGAGAGATGAGATGGTTAGAGGCGAAGCGAGGGACTCCAGGAGAATCGCCGGCAGAGTAGGTGGCGGTGGCGGGCATGACGGCCATCACTTCAGCGATCTTCAGCTTCAAGGATTCGATCTCTCGATCCTTGGTCTTAAGGTTGGTTTGTGCAATTTCCAGTTGCCTGCGCGTGTCGCCTAACGCCGAGAACAAGTCCAGCTTCAAGCGAGTCTCCGAGCTCAAGCTGTTTTCTAGGTGAGTGTTCTTGCCTTGCATAGCTGTCAGTGCAGACATTAACACCTCTGTTTCCTTCTTTAGCTGCATGCTGTCATATTCCCTGGTCTTCTGCCGCAGAGTTTCAGCTTCTTTGTCGACGCGTTTTATTTCTTCTTCTTTCTCTTGTAGAAGAGCACGCAACTGACGGCTGTCCTCTTCCAGTTCGATCCTGAGCGCGTTACACGCATCGTGACCTGTCGTTTCGTCGCACTGCTTAGCTGCGGCGTCCTCCGCTTTTTGTCTCTTACGCTCCTCACGAAGCTGACTCTCCGCCAAAAGCCGGGAATCTCGCTCAGTTTTTAGCTTTCGTTCCAGAGAGGAGATTGAATTACGATCTTGCTGACGTGCAGACGACATATTTTGCAATCTGTGAATAAAATCATAAACATTCCGAGTTAATTACTTTCAACTCAAACCTTCGACTCACTAGCATCACCGCTGAAGCAAACTTTGAAGTCGTGTAAATACTGGAAATGATCACTAACTACAGAAGCTTTAGATTGTTAAACAAATTCTCGCAGTCAGTACCAGAGAGGATGTATGGAGAAGAGTAGGAAGAATATGCACATTGATGACGGCTAATCAGAACAAGGGGAAATATCACAAGCAGCCAATCAAGACTCAACCTCAAACCAGCAATCCGCCTGAAACGCGGGAAAATGCGAGAGGTTTCAGTTTAGCATCTGATTGGTTAAAAATTTTGCGCGAGTTTTCTAGACCAATCACAAAGCGTTCTGAAGTAAAACCAAAGCAATCTCGATTCACTATCGACAGACAATCGAAAGTTGCTTTAATCAACAATTACACGACGAGCTGAAGATTTCTAACGCACAATAATAACTGAAAGCCCAAATCAACCATCAAGCATACGAATTGAGAGAAAATTTATTCCTGCTATTCACACATTGAAAGAAAAAAATACACAAGAACAGTCAAAGCAGGGGGCTTAAATGGCCTAAGGTCAGCAAAAGACGTGAAGAATTTACACGAGTAGAAGAAAGCTTTAACTAAAATAATTACAATACAATTAAACGAAGAAAGAAAAGGTCAGTCAGAAAACTTACAATTGAGATACAATACTTGGCAACTAGTTTAAATAACTAAACGACTAATAATAAAAATCCTATAAACCACACTAACAAATATAAACAAATACACCTAATATAGTCCCATAAGGTCTGCAGATTATGCGAAGGTTATGCGTAACTACTCGGAGAAAAATAGTCTTTTAATTTTTTTTTTTTATAGTTGCTTACTGTAAGATTATTGTGCACAGATAACGGAATATCATTCCAAATAATAGGAGCTTGCCAAGTCATAGCAAATTGATACTTAGGACAGGTTAAAACGCGAACGAGTCAAATAATTGTGATATTCAGAATAAAAATGAAGCATCGAGGAAACAGGAGCAGGTAAAAGGTTATTAAAATGTGAGAATACAAAACAGGCAACATGGAATTTATAAACAAAACTTATAAATAGAGTAAAGTGAAAGAATATTATGCTTAGAAAAAAGAGGTTTAGAGGATGTGCGCGGAGGAGAAAAAGTAATTATACGAACGGCTTTCTTTTGAAGTACATAAAGAGATTTAAGGTAAGAAGCATAAGTAGATGCCCATATTAAACTGCCATAATTTATAAAACTAATCGTTTTCGTAAAAATCTACAAGTTGTTCAAAGGGGAACAAAATAGACGGGCTCGTGTTTTTGATTTATTTTCTTTTACAACCCCAGACTGTTAAGCAACTCACTTCCTTCACTATGATATCTATGACGGAATAGATAGCGAGTAGGGTAACCAATCAGACTGCAGCCTTTGTTGATGGAAAGCTGGGGGATTTGTACTATAGAACAGTAATACTTGTAAAACGTAAGCTATGCAGACGAGATAAAGATTTCGTACATGCATCCAATGCATTTCCTAACTCTCTTTAAGTCTCGTGTGAATGCACTGTATTCATCTAAACTCCAAAGAAACAGAGAAAACAAATTTGAACGTAGACAAGCCACACCACCTTGTTCGGGCATGGGATAAGCACTTGGTCGAGTCTTCATTAGTTTCAGATTGGTAATCTGATAGTTCCAACCAGCATCACAAGTTCTTCCTTTTAAATTTTTAAAGAACCTGTTGTCCTGCATTTGCGGAAAAGTTCTACCAACAAACAAGATCGCGCACTACAGCAAACCAAGAACACTGTAGTCCCACATTGTCTAAAAAGAAACTCGATTGCAATCCGAGTTCAGTCATTCTTTGAGCTGTTAGATTAACAAGCTACCAGTTCTAATGCGTAAAAAAACTTCAGCTGTACTTACTTCTGTTGAATAACCTCGCACTCGGCCTTCAACTGCTGTAATTCAACCTTAGTGGAGCGTTCACTGGCCATCAAGCTGTGCATGGTGGACCTCAGTTCCTGCTCACCTTGGCGACTCGTCTGCAGTTCCACTCTGAGTCGTTTACTATCATTCTCTAGTTGGGATAAATTGCTCTCAGCACGACGACTGCAATAATAATAAAAATAATCAAACGGAGGCATCATTCAGATCTGTAAGCTAAATTTTAACCCGGAATGACGTAAAGACACACGTCAGAGAGAACTTGGAAAAACTTGGAAGGTGGGAAACACTGTTCTTTTCCACGAGCAAAACGTAAAAAAAAAAAAAAACAAATCAAAAGGGATTAAGAACACTTAAGGATGGAGAAGATTGAAGTGGATCGCAAATTATGAACTTGAATTTTTCGCAATGTATACATTGTGATTCAGCTTCGGTTCTGAAGGAACTAGTACTCTAAGAAGACACAATAAATGTTACGCTCACCGTAACAGCCTCTCCTCTTTAAGTTGAGAAAATAGACTGGGTCCGAGGTCAACAGACTGAGTTTTCTCGTGTCCCTGAGATATGAAAAGAGGATCACAGCCATGAGACTAACAAGGACAAGATTAAACAAACACAACAACAAAAACAGCCTAAAAATAAAGCAACTGAGCGCTTCTCGGACACACCTTCGGTGAGTTACTCCTGCTGTTCTTTCGACTGTTATTGATGGAGCTACTCGACGCACTTAAAGAATCACTATCAGACTCATCATTGTCTTCCTCGTTATTCTCATCGTACTCCTTCAACTTTTCATTTCCTTTCGCGCCATTTTTCTTTGAAGATTTTCCTATAACTCCATTGAGCGTGGCGCGGTGATGCTGCCCAGCTTTCCCACTCTTATGACTCCCTTCTAACGACAGTTTATCAAGTTCATTTAAGTTATGATCCTCGCTGGTCTTCTTTGATGTAAGGTTAGAGAGCACGTCAAGTTCTTTCAATAGTGCATTTCCTTTCAAAGTAGGCCTTGATTCAAGATCACTTAGTTTTAAGCCACGGCGACTGGCTTCTTTAGCTATTAAGAGTTCGAGATCTGTTTTAGTGTTGATGCCATTTGTCATAACAGGTACAGGCCGACCTCTTGGGAGTGCTACTTCACCATTAGCAACTTTACCATTACATATAGCTGCAAGTTAAGAATGAAGAAAACCAAGTCAAATAAATTATACATCTTCCTAAAACAACAATAGCTTTCCAGCTACGTACACACATAAGTTAAGCCCCAGCTTTGGTGCAATTATCTCTTTCAAAATTTCCATTTGGCACCCGAAAATTATGAAATGTTTGCCAGAGATAAACTTTAATCACCAATGATGAAAATAAACAAACAAACGAAAAGCACAATATTCTTTACCACACTAATCAACCCCGGAGAAAAAGGCAGTGGCGTGGTGTTAGCAACAATTCGTATAAAAATTGACCTCATATTAACTAAACACCCTGGACAATAAATAGTGAAAGGTTACAGCTTTGGAGCACAACTGAACACTGGGAGCCAATCTAGCAACCTTCATTAAAAATGTAGTTGCCAAAATATTTTGCAACTATCTATGTTAACCAAAATAATTACAGCTTGGAGTACTGTGGCATGCATTTATCCAAAACCAATAATTTTGTTTAAATTTAATTCATATTTTATTATAATTCAATGATTATCTGCCCATTCAATAATCCTGCCCTTGCATTTCAAGCATTTAACTACACTTTTCCATATATAAAAATGTCACAAAAATCCTGTGCAGAACCACATCATACCTCTTGCTGGTCGCTCTGTTGCCTCTGTATGGTTGTTTGTCTCAGGAGGCAGTGCCAGGTTAATAAGTTGCATATAAAACTCATTTTCTTTAGCAACATGCTGAACTCTTCTCTGTGAAATGGAGTGAAAAATGAACAACTAAGGACCCCCACTGAAACATAATCTTGGCAAATACAGGATTGTCAAAATAAGCTGGCTCTGAAAAATGCACAAGCTATGTATAGTGTATTCTGCATGGTTGTGGCTTACTTTTCAGTATGGAAGCATGACAGTGTATCTTCGACTTTGTATCATAAACTGGTTACTCAAAAAAATTTTTGACAACCTGGCAAATAGCAAACATCTTACTTAGTGAATAGATTGACACAGCATTATTCTATTCTTTTCTTTCTTAATTTCTGTCTGATTAAAAATTCCTCTGTGATTAATTGGTTGCAGAAATCTCAGAATTACAACAAAAGAAAGAGATTTTCAGTACATGAATTCTTCATGAAAAAAAAAAAAATTACCACCTGTTTCCTTTCAAAGGAGATAAAACACATTTTTCTGACAGATGACAATGCAAATGTGAAAACGTTTGGGAGCCTGAACAACAGCTGAGGAAACAAGCCCTGTCCACCATTCAAAGTTGTCAGTGCTTCACATTGCTACTGCATTTCTGATTCTATACACAAATTATAGAAATTGAAAACTTCAGGAGAACCTGGGAGATGTTTCTCTCAAATTGCTGCTGGATTAAAAAGCTTTCTATCTCTATTTACAGACAGGGACCAGTTATCACCAACAACAAAAACGAAATCTGAGTCATTGTAACTGGCTCCACATTTCTAATTACACCCACATTGATAAATTATTAGGATATGTGTTTCTCATCAGGTTTGTGCCAATATGAGGGGATTATTCATAGCTTACATGTAACTGCAGCATCACCTTCAATCAAAGAATAATTTTCCCTAAGAAGGAATGATTGCACTTTGTGTCTAAATTTGACAAGAAAATTTTGATGTTTCAGCAACCATATAAGTGATGATCCCCTTCCGTGATATATGAAAGAATTACCTTAAGTTAACTCTGACACCAATACAGTTGCCATAATTTATACTACAAGTACATGGTCATCCAGAGGCACAATGCTTTCTGCATGGTGACTTCTTAATCATTTGCTATGTTCACTTGCGAGAAATAAATCAGATCAGTTACCACCATGTATCATCATACTGAAAGCTGCACTTACCTGACGCATTTTATAGCCTACATAACTCTTGACACCATAACCAAGTGTTACAACAGGATACCCAATGCTGAAAAAAAAAAAAAAATCATATCAACAAGTGAATTCTTTCAGTTAATCAGATACTGCATTAAAAAGGGCTCCTGATTCCATCATTGGTCAAACTCTGGGAGGGTGCACTTTTAGATAACTGCAGTGAATTGGTAAGTTAAGGGAAGGGAATTTACCTCAAACATATTCTACATACAAGCAAAATATTCAGGGGAGGAATTAATAAGGTGATAGTTATTGTTCAAGAACACAAGGTATATCAGCCCTAATTTAGGACTAGATACCTTCAATATTGTATTTGTGTTGAAGTAAGAACAAAATTTACATGGCAATATTCATGGCACTTAAAACAGAGAAATTTGCTCTTAACTAAATATCTAAAAGTGACAAGTGAAAGCTGAGTGCATAGAGGAAATATCAATTAGTAGCTTTGAATTAAAACACTGGTAATCAGTCTAATGTACGCAAAATAAGACAAACAGAGCTTTACTTTGTATGAAGATGCACAGTGCAAATTGCACATTACATGGGGTAGTCTACGGAATGCTAACCAGCGTCTTCTCTCAGAAATTTAATTGCAGGAGAATTGTGCGAATAAATGGAAAATATTCTCAACAAATTATCAAGAACATGTTTGAGCCATCAAAGTGTATGCAGAGAATCATGCATGCATGCAACTCAGAGAATTATCTGAACCCTAATGCCTTATGAGCACTCTGTTTGCCTGCTGTGACAAACTCACTGTAGCATGACAATTGGTCATAGCTCACATTTCCTGAAGCCTAAGGCTGTTATGTCTGGGCATCAAACAACATGCACTTACAAATTTTTATACACAATAAAACTGTGATTATTCTAAATTCTAGTGGGAAAGGAATTGGTTTAAATAATAGGAAGGGTTGGAAAATTAAGGTTTCAAATCAGTACCTGAGTAGTTAGAGGAAGTACCTTTTAACCTGAACTACTGGGAATTCAGAAACAGGGGTAGAGAAATAAAAATTTTATTGTAGGTTTTGCAGTAAACTTTAAGTATTTAAGCAAGAGACAAGGCATTCATTGTCAACAAAAACCTGAATACCCATCTATTCAGTTGGATTATAAAGTGCGAAATGAATGAAAGAGGGAATGATTTCAGTGATACCAAGATCACAAGCTCAGCATACAATGAAAGGCTTGTATGGTTCCCAGAGCTTAAAACACAACTTCCTCTTAACTATTGCATTTTTCATTTAATTTAAAAAAGTCCTCGAGCACATTTGTGCTTGCTTTGTTTTTAAATTCAAGAAAGGCATTGCCATGAAAAAAACGGTTGACTGTGCTTTTATCCAGATTATCTAAATTAAAAATGAACAATCTGCATAACGGTGGTTTTAAATTAACGGCAGAATTTAGAACGGGTTAGAAGAAATTAACAACCGCGGAAAATAGTACAATGTACTCGAAGTAAGAAACTAGCATTTCGAAATGTAAAAATTACTTTGAAAAATATCACCATCACGTTTCTCTTTTAATTTTTGAAAAGAGACGAAATCCTCTTTGAGCTGCCAACCTAGCATTTTAAACTAAATCGTAGTTAAATGATTAATTACTCGAAAAAGTGAGAACTTCCTAAGTCTCAACAGGAAAACTAGCGCAAAAACGCCAGTACATTATAAACCAGAAATATTTTATTCATCGAGACAATATCAAAAAATTGATTCTCATGTTTGAAGTCAAATTTTGAGAAAAACCTTTCGACGAAGCTTTCCGACTCTATCTACCATAGGACCTTGCTTCCGACGCTAACACGAACTACTTTGCATGAAATAACAGCTGCCTCTAGCTCTCAAAATTTCAGGGAAGAATATAAATTAGGGAAGCACTTTACTTTTTTTCTGAGAAGTGTTCAACTCTCCTTGTCAAAAGAAAGTCTCCGCCATCATAGATAACCAAATAAATAATATTAAGGCAATGTGAAAAGCTCAAACTTACCAATGAGCGGCGAACGGTCGACATAAGTCTAAATGAAATGGGAGATTTTTCAATTCGCGAAGTCGAACCGACGCTTCTACATACACAAACAGTAACCATAGACTAACGGTTGGAACGCATAAACCACGATCTGAAACAGAAAATCAGGCAGTAATTAGACCAAAGAATGATGACATATTTAACCAGAGCCTTCCAATAAACTTGTGAAAATCCCGCGTCGTTTAGATCTGTTTCCCGACAATTTCAGGAATACTAGATCTTGATCCACCAGCCGACCTAACGAAATGTAAACATAGAAAATTTTCCTCGAGTGAACGAAGTCATACCCGCCTCTAGCTGCTCTAATCGGCTAAAAGTTATCTCTCTAGAATTACCTGTATGCCAGACGAACTGAACCCAGACGTATGTGCTAGCCGCAAAGAATAACCAATGCACAGGGAGAAACATCAAACATATAAGGTCTGAACAGAACGCCAGTGTGAGAAAAAGAAGAGAGAAAGCCTGAAAAAATAGAACGTGAAAATTCAAGACTAGAACGAGATTACAGACGCTAGGAAAATTTCAAAATAAAACCGCATTTATCATGGCAATGTTGGGATTATTTTGAGGGCCAATGAATAACGAGAAACACATGATTTACGGTAAATTACGTGAAAATAGTAACTCGACTCACCAAACCTTGGTACTTGAACGAGTCATAAGCACTCCGTAACAGTAGCCAAAAAGGCCAAAGATATTCAAAGCGAAATTCCAAAAGGAAGTCGGCAGTCAACACCATAATCCATACTAAGAAAAATCGGACGTACAGAAATACACTAGACGAAACAGAAATTAAGGACAGGTCAGAAAACCAACTTTAAATTCGTGGTTTTCGAGTGCGAGTGGCCAGAGGCCAATGTTACTGACACAACATTTCGACTTTTACCTTCCATATATCGATTCTGTGATGCGAGAACGTTTTAAAGGTCTTCTGAGTTTCGAAGGATCAATACTTCGTCTCTTCATCTCGATGTGTGGTTCATCGAGTGAGGTTTACAGTAAGCGTCAATATGAAAAATATAGAATTAACACGGTGAGGAAAACGAGCAACTAAACTGATTTCCCTAAGTAATCGCCCATTGCGCTTGCGTGGGGTGACGTCACATGGTACAGTGACATGAGCGCCGTTCCCTCGAACCCGCCCCTGTCATGTCCCCCAGGGAATTAACTTGCTATGTTTTCTGAAGCATGAAGCAGAAAGTGTGCTTTCAACGACAATCTTACTCTGTGCATATAGAATCATGTTTAATCAGTTTCTTAGAAACAGGGTTAGTTTCTCATCATTTTTCATTAAATAAGCCTCTATGGTCTTTGAAAGGAAATACACTCTTCCATGTCAGGGAATAGGTTTATCTGAGTAGTCTCCAGCTGTTTCGACTGCCATAACCAATCATAAATCGTGACTAAAAACTAAAAACTAAACGACTAACAACCCAGCCCGAGCCCCGCCTCCCCCAGTCCAGGGCACTTCATCACGGCAATTCATCACGGTTGGGAGCTTTTTCATCTGTAGTCCTACGGGGACTGACTCGATTTTCTCATACCTCATTTTATCGCTATGAACCAGGGCAGAGAGAGGTTGGAACCTCTCTCCCCCCACTATGAGCAGCTAAGACAGTTTTTATATTTTTTAAGGAGATTTTATTAAAGTTCCGAAAAGATAAGATGACAGAGGGTAAGAAGTAAGTTTGCAGGGAACCTTTATTCCGTAAAACTACATAACTACCTTTTCACAAATTGAGAGTGAATTCGAAAGGTACGTGCATTCTTTACATGTCTTGCAAAGCACGCCCCCATTTCAGTCGAGTGCAATGTATTTATATTTTTCTCTGTTGATTTCTACACTGTTCTGCGTATGATCGGCTTTTTTTTTCATTTTGGCTGTTACACCAGCTGGCGTTTAAGACTGCTTTTCATCTCTTGACTTCAACCCTAGGTCTTCTTCATCAGAAGTAGTTCCCTTATTTTCAATTCCTCCATCGATGACAGGTTCACCATCTCGCTGGGTACTGCCCTCTCCATTTTTACCAATTTGCTGAGCTCGAGTGCCATCCTCAGGGAGTCCCAATGCAGTCTTCTGGTGCGTAGGAATCTCCTCTCCATTCTCAACGGATGTTAGTTGTAAATCAATGCCAAATACATGGGAATCTTTGTGTTGCACCACTTCTCCAGTTATTTCTTCGGCTCCGTCCCCAATCGAGGAAGGTTCAACAGCATTGGGCTTCCAGCACATTAAAGACATGTAGACAGGCAAGATGCACAGTCCGTGAAGGAGACCAAGCACGACGATTCCGAAGAACATTCGGAAAAAAATCCGGAAGACTTCCGAAGATGCAAACGCGAGTATTACCATGCCAAGAAAAGTACTAAAACCTATTGGAAAAGAAAACAAAACGAAAACGCAGTTGAGTTTTTCAGTTGTAGAAAATCTATTAAAACTGCCGCATCAAGGCAAATGTCGGGAAAAAATCGTTAATTGATTACTAATAAATTTTGATACATAAGTTCTGTCAGCTCGTCAATTAAGCGAACGTGAGCACATATTCTCTTGTTCATGCTATCTTGTGGAAACACAAGTCTGAAATACATGTCCACTGTACTTAATCAACATAGGCACAACCAAGCATCAGTTCGTGGGGACGGGCGAAAAAGTGTACCCGATACCCATACTTTAAACAAAAATATATTTTCGCAAATTGTTAAGTTTTTTGTTCCCTATATTTGCTTCCTTTTGCAGTTTTTTATGAACCCTCAAATTTTTTTCTCGTAAATTTTGCGCGACACTGCCCACGCCTTACGTTTGATCGCTGTCTCCTCAACCACTTACCTCCCATGAGAACACTCGCACCCAGTGTACTTAGAGCTTCAACCACTCGCTCATTGGCTGTTGCTTTTTTGGATGTCACGTAAGCATGCGCGACGTGTGCACTATAATCAACTGCAAAACCGATGGCCATGACAAGATTAACCATAGAGACTGTGTTTAGGGATACATTCCAAATGACCATCACACCAAATAACTCACATATCAAGGACGCAAAGTTAAGCACTACGAGGAGCGTCACGGTAAAGTCCACCAAAAAGGGGCTCGTAATGATTAGGACAGTAAGGCCCGCGATCAATAGGTTCCTTATAGTCTCCCTTGTCGTGATAGCGTACTGTTCAATGAATATGAAATTCCGAGTGATTGGAAATGCATCTAGTTTCGACATTTCTGTTAGGTCTTCACGTAGCGTGAGCATTGCATCTTTTCGAAAGGTGGAGCTGGCAGAATCCTTCATAAAACTGAGTATGCGCGAAGCTTCCAACCTTGAGTTGTCCGCGGAGAAATATAAGTCTTGATTGAAATAAGAAAAGTCAGGGATATGGAGGAATGCTTTCAATTCAGGCAAAAACCATTGACCAGTTATGTTCTTGTTAGACTTTTTGGCATACTGTGCAAATGCATCCATCCACGAAAAAGACAAGTTCTTGTAGTACCTATTCTCCGTGACGATTGGCGTAAGTGCTCTAATTTGTTCCTGAGTGGAGCTTATTCCATAATCGACCCCACCAGTCTCCACGATGCTTACTGGAAGAGAAAGCTCAAAGTTATTTTGTTGGGCGGTCAAAAATCGCTTCAAGTAAGAACCGTCCTTTGCTAGGATTCTCCTATCAAACTCCTCATCCACTTGACTGACTCCATAAATCCCAGCACCAAGAAGCAACAGCGAGAGAAATATGATTACAATTTTAGTAACCGGATGTGTCAAAAATTTGCCCCAGTACTCCATAGCACGATTCGACGTTTGTGGCACAGGCTCGTCCCAGGCTGGGGCACCCTCCTTTGGTGGAGGGGCATGGCAGAATGGTAAACAGTCCCTGCGCCCCGACTTGATGCGTCTTAGGTCGTATGACATGATGGCCACGAAGTAAGTGATAACCATGAGGAAAGAAAACGTCACCGTCAAAGCGGCGTAGACACAGAAATACCTAAACAAAAGAAATCCTTTAGTTCGCAAACAATAATTATAAACTAAAACTGAGCCAAGCTCTAATAATATTCTAGCTCTAGTCTGTGTAGAGATCTCTTTGGGGGTTTTCTTGCGAGAGGTTGGGGAGAGAAAATTAATCGTTGGTCGAGCTGTAGGAGGATTGCTACGAAAGTTGACTATTTTCACCTGTGTAGTTTATTACTTTTATCTTATTTGGCCAATCGATTACCAACGAGGCTTACAATAGAGAAACTTGAAATTCAATAATTTATTGTTTTCTTTTTAAAATCCCTCAAGATTGAAGTATCCCTAAAACATGCCACGTATTCAGTCACACGAACTTGGTGACCCATCATGCTGTTGCCTTTTTAATCTTTCACTCCTTAGGATATATAAAGCGAATAGCTAGCGTTGAAACTCCCTCAGGTCAGGATGTTAGTCCATCACAGCAGTTTCCCGCGGGAACTCCTCAAGCTTCCAGACAATTTGTTAGTATCCGCTAAGGATAGAGTCTTACCCAAGATGATCAGCTTTAAAAAGACGATAAATGTTAAACACGTCTTCACTTTGTTTGGTTTAGCCGTTATAAAGCTATCAGTGCTACATTAGAGAAAAAGGATGCAAATTAAGTAGAGGTTCAATTCTCACTTATTTGCACTATTTTACCTTATGGCCGGAAATGACGTGGAAGTGCTGACAGCAAACGCTACCAAATCGGTCATTGTTGTCATGGTAACAGTCGGTGCTGAATGCTTCATAACCCTCTTGATCTTTTCAGCCGTTGAGAGATCACGTGGCTGTCGATCAAGCTCATCCATTATGATGAATATGTCGTCGATACCGACTCCAATAACCAGGAATGGCAGCACTCCTACGAGACTGATAAATGGCACTCGGAACCACATGCCTAGGCCAAGCCCAGCCAAAATACCCAGGGCCACTGCGAACACTCCTGCGTTAGCGAGCAGGGAATGGCCGGTCAGCGGATTTAAAAACTTTGCTAGCATGAGGCAAGCAAAGGAGACCATGAGGGTGAAAGTAATTGCCACCAATGAGACATCAGACCCACTGCTCTCAGCGATAGCATCGTCCAAGCTCCTTTCGCTCGAGTAATGGACCTCGAAGCAGGGAAGTTTGTCAACTAATGAAGCTACCTTATCCACGAAAGTCTTCTCCCAATTGAGGACTTTTTCGTTCGTTTCGTCGTCGCTAGGGTCCTGAATGAGATAAATCATTTGCAACGCCTTGGCGTCGGTTACGATTCCATTTTTCCGGGTAGCATTGCCAAACATGCGGTTAAAATTGAACCAGAAAGGGCGTCCATTGCGCATGAGTGAACTGGTGTCGTTGTACGCTTTGCCAAGTTCATATTGAACCTGTGTTAAATCTTTACCGATCAGTTTGCTTTCATTGAACTTTATAAATTCCATCGGGTTGACCATCACGCAGTCTTCTGGTGACGTGGATTTGTTCACAGACAGTGTGACGCAGAAATCGGTATACGATTCCAATTCGATGACTGCATTGTGAGCTTGTAAGGCCTGTCTTAGACACTCAGGAGATAGAATATTCTGATTACCCGACAATGCCACCAAAAGGATGATTTCCTCTCGAATCTTGACTCGAAAGTATTTCTCAGCAATTTCCAAGTCAGTTATGGACTTGCTGTCTTGAGGTATGAAAAGTTTTTCTGTTCTTGTTTCGGACTGGAACCAAACAAACCCCACGGAACAAACACTGACGAACACGAGGCATATCTGGATCGTCATCAATGGATGCTTGGTGATCCCTTCACTAAACCAACCAAAGAAACGTCCCAAAGAGCGCCAATACCAGCTGCAGAACGAGGACCACAGGTGGCATGGATTTAGTCTTTGTGGACAGCAGCAGCTACTGTAATAATCAAGTAGCAAATCAGGTTAGTTCTTACATAGATGCATTCGTATTCAGTCTGGGTCCTTGAGCCCCCAGGGGTATTTTGGGCTTGAGTGAACCTTATCTCCTGGTCTTGGCTTCCTAATCTAGGATTACCCCTCCGGGGCTCAATAAAAACTTGATTCTTTAGACAGGATGGCTTATCAGAAAGAATTTACAACTCTGTTATAACAGAAACTTGATCAGCCTTACAAACGCTAGGTAACATTTGCGCTAGAGCGCTACCTCACCCAAATGGATCTTAATTTAAGGGTTAAATCAGTTGGGTCTCACCTCTAATTTATTTTAGAACATAGCTAGCAGAGTCGCGCAATCAAATTCATTATACGTAAGCGTGCTCAAAATTCCGATAGTGCACGCTGATAGCGTCAGCAAATCCGACTTCGCCAGAAATTTTTTTTTCGCGCGAGCGGCCATTGCTAGTGCGGGGAAAAATAATACATTTCGCGACAATAACGGATACAAACAGAAACTCGGCCTGCTAGTCCGAAAACGAAGACAATGTTACGACCTTTTCCCATGGGCTAGAGTTCTTAAATGAGGCAGAAAAAGAGAAAAACAAAGGAAAAGGAGACTTGGCATCAGCGCTGTCACGATTCGCTTCAACTGATATTGTTGTCCGTTTTTCGCGTCGCATTTGATGCACAATTCCACCGGCTATGTTCTAAAACAATTGGTTCATGCTTTCAGCTGTGCACTATCGAGTTATGGAGCACGTGGGAAGTTTGGAGAGCACTCAAGAAGCTAGAGTAACTCTTACGCTTCTTTCGTGCTCTCCAAACTTCCCGCGTGCTCCATAACTCGATAGTGCGCGCTAAAGCATGAACCAATTGTTAATTATTATTACAGAATATTTTCTGAGGAGAAGTGAGCTTTTTAGGGTGGGAAGACAAATTAAAAAAGGGTTTAATTTATTTTTCATAAATTGAGGGAAGAAAATGGCTGTAAAAGAGGGCAGTGTTGCTTTACAATGTGCGAGATAAATGTTACTTCAATTTCATCTGTAATTAAATATGATCACGAGTCAATTGCTCAGTCAATCAATCAAAACCAAGGGTTTTTCGCATCAGAGGGTGGTTAAAACGTGCTAAATTGCATTCATTTACGACAGGTTGTTACGTACATCCTTATGCACGTTCATTTCATTTTATACCGTAAAGTAATCGGAAGTTGAAATACTAATCCGATATCTACGTGTTACGTGACTTGACAACGTTTCTCGTAGCATTTCAGTGAATAACAGGATACTTGTTCAACTATTAAGCAAGTGGAAGTAAATACTCACATGTTACGTAAGCCCGTTATGTCATGTACAGTTTAAAATCTCTGTTACAATTCGGACATCTCTTTGAAAGTGAGTTTGTATTAAGGATTCCCTCTTCCTCAGAATAATTTGCATTTTATTCGAGATCCTTTCAATGTTTTCTCTGTGCAACGGTAAAAGGAAATTCCAAAACGAAACTTTCGTTTAACGAAGATGCAAAGATCTTATTCGTGAGCCGTCTGAAGTCTGTAACGACAAACTCTCGACACGGCTAAAAAGATTCAAGTTAGCTTGTATTTGGGGTTTGATATGTAGTAATCCCCCGAGGAAATTGTAAAAAGACTGTACTTAACAGCAGAACTTAATGACACATTCTTACTTCGGCCTGCTTGTATGTCACCCGCAAGCTATTTCACTTGTGAGAGAATATTCACAAATGTGAGTACGCGTGCTTAATGTATATAAGACAGGTATTCAAGGTACAAAAACTGCTATGACATAACAAGTTACATTGCACCCGTATTTGGAACGGTTTTTCGTTTCAGTTATTTTGCCTGTTGAGAAGAGCTTAAATTTAATTTAAATTCGGAAAACGATGAATTGATAGTTACCTCCTATCCGTTGACTTAATTTCTTCAGACGTATTTGAAACTGTTTCCATGGTTTTTATCTGTAAAAAGCCGTCGTTATGCCATGTACAGAGATCTGTTGTGCCTATTCATTAGAGTCGCTGATAGGTAAAATTTTATCTGTTTGAATGGACAGAGGATCAATATTTATGTACGTATTCCTGACGTCTTCAAAGTAAGTAATGTTAACTACATTCGTGACAGCCAACTGAAGTGGAAACAATAATGTTTTCGATGTTATGAATATTTTAAATCAGAATACAAAACAGTTGCTTGACAGCTGTTTGATGATTGGAGGAGACAATTAAACAATATTTATGAATGGTCAGTGTACTCGGCTTGACGTAACCGAGGACGTTGAACAATGAAGAAAAGTGGTTTACAAAATATCAGGTTTAGCTGCCCTAAGTTAAAAGCTTTCTCTTGACAGCCGTATTGAAATCGAATTAGCTATCAGCTGAAAGTAATCACCTCTGTTTTTTGGAACGTTGACTTGTCGTGTTGTTAAAGGCCCATTTCCATCCGAGATCCTTCGCAATCGTTTGTTTTTGTTTTGGAATCGCGCTAAGTGCAGGGTTACGTAAACAAAGCTACGTAATTCCCGGATGTGATGTAAAAAAGGTATATAATGCAAGCGTTCCTGTTTTGAATATTAGGTTTTTGTAGTTTTTCTTTCAAGTGTCATTAAAGTTTCTTTCAGTCGGCCGTTTTAATCCACGGGTGATTTCTTTGCGTACGGACACAACACGAGTGATGAGAATTCAAATGATATATACAGACACCAGAGATAAATCAAGTAGATCGAAACAGCATACTCAGTGAAGTGTAAAATGCGCCGACTTAAGATTCTCTTGGTCAAGCGAAAAGGAGTGGAACACGGTCATATGCGCCGCTATCTCGCAAAGAGTACTAGTATAGATGTGGTGCCAACTTCCAAGGTTTAGAAACCACAATCAAATGTTCGCGTACCTCGTAGGTTGTTATAAGTTGTAGTTGGGGCTGGAGTTTCGAGATTAGTTACGTAACACCAAGGCATGGTAGTTAAAGGAGAAAGCTTTGTGATCCAAGACTCTTGGCAACTTTCACACAGCGAGTTTGCTAAAGCTAGTTTCCCCTAGCTAACTTTCCAGCGGACCATGAGGTCATCTGAGTGAGTGAATGAAATACATCAAATACAAGAGACAGCTACGGAATTTCCAAACTTCCTGAAGCAAGTACAAGCTTAAAATTTTGTACTGAATTTCTGAAAACTTTTCCCAATAACCTTTCCAGTGCTACTGGTTCTCAAATCAAATGTTTTGGAGCTCCAAGCAAAATTCATTAGAACGGCTCTCCCGGGAAAAAAGAGGGAAGAGACAATCCCTGGGGAAGGCCAAGGGTGTGATATACCCTCCGGCTCTCCTTTAGTTGATAAAAAGTAAGATTTTGAATTGGATAGTGGTAAAAACGAGCATGCTTCCCAATAAAAATGAGAGGGTCTCAATGGGGCAATGACTTTAAGGGCTAAAGGTTAACATTTTGGCGATTTTATGGCTAACGGTTAAAATCATTCCATTGTTGTCACCAGAATTTTTTTTTACAGTCAACTTCTCCACGACTAACGGTTAAACTCTGTCAACTTTTGCGCTTAACAGCTGAATTTTTTAGCCGTTTTACAGCTAACGGTTAACTCCGTTGAGACCTTCCAATAAGCTACCCGTGAGAAAGCCATTCAACTGTTGGTTTTGTCTCCGCTGATATGATCAATCTTTGTCACAATGAAAGCCACCGAAAACCATAACCTCTTCGTTATTTGAGTGAACCAAAAGTGGAATATCCCCCTTCAACTGAACAAGATTGCATTTAAAAGCCAAGCTATCTATTTTTAATCATTAATAAATAATGATTCGTACCTCTAAGGTGAGATGAAGGAAATGCAGTGCGCTTTTTCTCTTAAACTTTTAGTTCGGCTTTTATTTGAATACAAATTACACAAGTTAAAAAAATAACCTTATTTCAACTTTTTACTGATACCAATGATTTACTTCATAGTAATGCAAATCTCGCCTCATAAATTCGAACTAATGCCAACTCAAACAGAACGGTCCTCGTAAACAAAATATAGGGATTATGTTCAGCCAAAAAAATTTCAAATTTTGAACGGTGCGTTTCTCTTTTTAAAAACTTTTACTTCTCAATTATTCGATAAATTACATAATTTGCTATACGTTTTTTAAATTCCCTTTATAAATACTTCTAGCGCTTTGTACAAGCAAGTTAAAATGAAATCGCTTCCTTCATGGCGGAAGTTATCAAGTGCCGAAAGTAGTAGAGTTTTCACTGTTTTAACGTTATGTACACTAAACTTGGTCTACAAAATTCTTTCGGCCACCTCAACCAATCAGGCACAAGCCTGAAGCTAATCCGCGGCCACCGAGTGACACTTTTTCATCCGCGCTAGAGATATTTCTTTGGGTCCACGTTGTCTTTTATGGGAGAGTATCCTTCTCTTGATAAATCGATGTAGTTACTTTAGTTTTGGTTTTACAACACATAATAATCTAAAAGCACCGGGATTGAAAGCGTTTTCATTTGCTCATGGTCTGCTTAGTGGTTGTTCCGGTTTCATTTCTCAATTAAAGATAGCTTCGTGAGATTAAAAGTCAGTAAGTTAGTTAAGCTGGTAGCTGATTCAGCAGTTTTAACGGACTTTTAGTGGCATACTACGCATCTGTGCCAGAAAAGTTTTCGGTTCCTCTTCTAAAGCGTTGTTTCTCTTTCAGGATCAGGAGCCCTTGTCAGGGCCTTTCCATAAACAGATGCTTCAACAGAACCCGTCAAAAGGGCTTGAGCGATGTCTGTTTCTTGTTCTTCTCCTTGGCTGGCTTTTTTATTTCTACCCTCCAATGTGGTTCTCTCTTCGCTGTTTCCGTGCTGAGCTGCGTTTTCGGCTACGTGAATTTCTTCCACTCTGAGGTCTCCGCTGCCTAGTTTCTTAATAGTGTTCTCTGGTGAGTGGGGTCTGGTAATAACAGACGGTCTCCACCACAGCAAGGACAGGTAAACAGGCAGGACACATAAGCCGTGGAAAAGACCAAGCACGACAATGCCGAAGAACATTTTGAAGAATATCCGAAAGATTTCTGATGCGGCAAATGAAAGAACGACCATGCCAAGGAACGTACTAAATCCTAGGAACATGCAACAAGAAGGCAAGCTGGCTCAGTAGGTAAAGCACTGCATCGATATCGCATAGGTCATGAGTGCAAATCCCGTACAGGCCTACAGTTTTCTTTCAGACCTTATTTTCACTATTGCTCAAGTAGTGATCTTCACTGCAAAGATCGCTTTCATATCAATTTGTTAGTCGGCAGTTCACACACATGATTTTCAAATACTCACAATAAATTAACTTAATAAAACAAAGATAGGAAACGGCTAAAATGGTCGCCATGTTTTCACAATTTGGAGGTTACTCAAATCCAAGGAAAACTTGGACATGAATTTAAAAATCATTTTGTTTTAACAACACCTAAAGAAAACAAAAGTTTCAATCACTTTAAGCTCAAATAAAGAATCTTAGTTTTCTTTCGTTACGGTCAACTCATTGAAGATATATTCATATAGAAGTACTGCATCAATGGTTTTTCTTTGTGCCAGGTACCTTATCCTTTTAGTAATTAACAGCGCAACTGATTCACAATTTGTTTTCTTTGAAATTTACAGAACGTATGAAATAAAACTTGATCAAACGCTTAACTTACCTCCCATGAACACACTCGCTCCCAATGTACTCAGAGCATCCACTACTCGTCCATTGGATGTTGCTTCGTCTGACGTTATGTACGCATGCGCGATATGTGCGCTGTAGTCGACTGCAAATCCAATCGCCATGACAAGGATGATCATAGAAACAGAATTAAGGGAAACATTCCAGATGACCATTAAACCAAATAACTCGCATATCAGGGCTACAAAGTTTAACACCACAAGGAACGTCACAGTGCAGTCCATTAGAAAGGGGCTTGTGACAACTAACACTGCTAAGGCCGCGATTAGGAGGTTCCTTACGGTTTCCCTGGAGGTAATAGCGTATTGTTCAAAGTATATGAAGAATCGATTGATTGGGAAGGCATCCAGTTACGACTTTTCTGTGATATCCTCACGGAGTGTGAGCATGGCATTTTTCTGGAAGGTGGAGCTGATGATACCCTTCATAAAACCGAGGATGCGAGAGGTTTCAAGTTTGGTGCCGTCCTCGGTAAACTTCAGATCTTGACGGAAATGAGAAAAGGCTGGGATGCGAAGAAATTCCTTCAGAGTGGGCAAAAAATTTGGCCCAGTGATGCTCTTATTAGTTTTCTCAGCGTAACGGGAGAATGTGTCCATCCAGGATAACGAAGTATTTTCGTAGTATTCATTTTGTGTGACGATGTTTGTCAGTGCTTTGATTTGCTCCTGGGTGGAACTCATCTTGTACTCGACCCCACCAGTCTCCACGATGCTCACTGGAATGGTAAGCTCGAAGTGATTTTGCTGAGCCTTCAGAAATTGCTTATAGTAAGAATCATCTTTCGCCAGCATTCTCTCATCAAACGCCTCGTCCACCTGGGTGACTCCGTAGATCCCACCATTAAGGAGCGCCAGCGAGACAATTATAACCATGCTCTTTGCTGTTGCGGTCATCAAGAATTTTCCCCAAGCCTTCATGACCCGATTTGACGTCTGTGCGACGGGCTCGTCCCAGGCTGGCTCTCCATTTTTAGGCCGAGGTGTCAAACGAAGTGGAAAGCAATCTCTTCGACCAGATTTAATTCTTCTCACGTCGTATGTCATAAAGGCCACAAAGAAGGTGACAATCATAAAGAATGAAAACGTCACGGTGAGAGCGGCGTAGATGCAGAAATACCTTCAAAACAAAGATAAAGTATCATCACTGATCAGTGTTGTATTCCACGTGCTCTTGTGGTAGTGTAGGTAGGATCCAAGTTTGCCTCAGTGAAAATTTCAGGGTATGAGTGAACAATCACGAAACAGGTTTGTAGGGATGAAAGCGTAGTCTTTGTAATTTTCTAACTCAACAGATATTGCGCTCTACTTTTATGTAACAAGCACTGTTACTCGGAAAAATCAAAACGCAGACCTCCTAATTTCAGTATATATACTGAAAATATATAGATATATATATATATTTAGGCCTAAATATATATATCTTTATATTTATATATATAGATATTCTATATATTTATTCTATATATTTATCTATAGATCTATCTGCGCAGACTTCCTTAATTTCAGTATATATACTGAAAATATATAGATATATATATATTTAGGCCTAAATATGTATATCTATATATTTTCAGTATGGTTGGGTTTCAGGTGACNATATATATCTTTATATTTATATATATAGATATTCTATATATTTATTCTATATATTTATCTATAGATCTATCTGCGCAGACTTCCTTAATTTCAGTATATATACTGAAAATATATAGATATATATATATTTAGGCCTAAATATGTATATCTATGTATTTTCAGTATATATACTGAAATTGCTGTAAATATATTCTACCCGAACTACTAACTGGAAATGTAAACTTACTTAGCAATCAATCTAAAAGCCCTACCTTACAGCTGGGAACGAAGTGGATGTGCTGACAGCAAATGCTACCAAATCCGTTATAGTTGTCATGGTAACAGTTGTGCCTGTATGTCTCATGACTGCTTTAATCTTTTTTGGCGTTGACAGGTCACGTGGCAGTCGATCAAGCTCATCCACCATAATGAACATGTCGTCTATACCGATCCCAAGAACCAGGAACGGCAGGATTCCTACGAAGCTTACGAAAGGCACACGGAACCACATGCCTAGTCCAAGCCCTGCTAAAATTCCCAGGCCCACTGCAAACACTCCTGCGACAGCAAGCAAGGAATGGCCGGTCAGCGGATTAAAGAACTTTCCCAGCATGATGCAAGCAAAGGAGATCATGAGGGTGAAAGTGATTGACACCAGTGTGACGTCAGACCCGGTGCTTTCATCGATAGCATCATCCATACTCCGTTCACTTGAATAATGGACTTTGAAGCAGGAAAGTTTGTCCACCAACGAGGCAATCTTTTCAATAAATTTCGTCTCCCAGTTGAAAACGTCTTCGTATGCGTCGTCATCAGACGGAGCACGGATGAGATAAATCATTTGCAGTGCTTTTGCACCAGTTATGATCTCCTTCGTTCTAGCGATACTGCCAAATACTCCGTCGAGGTTGAACCAAAAAGGGCGTCCATTTCGCGTGACCAAGCTTGCGTCTTTAGCGGCTTTGCTCAGTTCAAGTTGAACTTGTGTCAAGTCTTTGCCAATCAGGTTACTCTCATTAAACTGCAGAAATTCCAGTGGGTTGGTCATCACGCATTCTTCTGGTGACGTGGATTTGTTACGCGATAGTGTAACACAAAAGTCAGAATAAGATTCCAGGTTCATAACTGCTTTGTGGGCATGGAACGCCTGTCTCAGACATTCAGGAGAGAGAACATTGGGATGACTAGGGTTCGCTTCCAACAGGACGATCTCCTCTCGAAAGTTGACGAGGAAGTATATCTGAGCAGTTTTTAAGTCATCCAGGGCCTTACTTTCTTGCGGTATGTATAGTTTGACAGTTCTTCCTTCTGATTGGAACCAAACAAACCCCACAGAAGAGACACTGACGAACACGAGGCATATCTGGATTATTATCAATGGATTCTTGGCGATTCCTTCACCAAACCAACCAAAGAAGCTTTCAAAAAGACGCAAATACCAGCTGCAGAGCTTAAACCATAGTACACATAGATTGAATGATCGTGGAGAACAGCAGCTGTATAAATAACAATAGTAATATTGATAATTAACAATTATTCCATGAGATGAGATGATAGATACCCAACGAGGCGCGTAGCGCCGAGTTGGCTATAATCATCTCATATCCAACAAGCGCGAGTGGAATAATTGTTTTATTAAGAACGTTAAATTAAATTATTAAAT